AGAGAGATACAGGGAGAGAGAGATACAGGGAGAGAGAGATATAGGGAGAGAGATACAGGGAGAGAGAGACAGGGAGAGAAATGGACTGCGGAGGCCGGATACAGAGATACAGGGAGGGAGATACAGGGAGAGAGATACAGGGAGAGAGATATAGGGAGAGAGATAGGGAGAGATATGGGGAGAGTCAGATGGATAGAGATTGGGAGAGAAGGAGAGACAGAGAAGCAGAGAGATAGAGGCCTAGAGAGACTGAGACAGATATCTCTGACCCTAGTGTCTTAGCCCCAAGGGCAGGCAGCTGTCCTGGGGTTCAGGAAGACCAGCACTCCCGCCCAGAACACCTGCCTTGGGTGAGGAGTCCCCCTCTAAGCCTCAGTTTCCCTCCTTGGCAGAGGGGACCCACCAGGGCCCCTGGGCACCAAGCTGGCAGGGGGCATATTCCTGGTTTCCAGAGATGCTGGCTCCATCCCACCCTAGCATTCAGGACTTTTTTCTTTTTTTTTTTTCTTAGTTGTTTGTTAAAGGGTGCGTGCGCTTGCCAGGGACAGAGACAGAAAGCGAGACATCACCCCCCAGGGGGGATGGCCATGCCGCAATCCCTTCCCCTCCATTCTCCTCTCGGGATCTTGGGCACGCACGCACACGCGCCCGGCGTGAGGTTTAAGCCACCGGGTCCGGGACTTGAACCACGGTCGGCTACATGGGCGTCCAGCGACACATAGCCATTACGCCAACTGCTGGTCCCATAAAAAAATTTAAAGGTTGTTTTGTTTGTTTTTTCTTTCTTTTTTTTTTTTTTAATAAGATGCCATGGGGACCAACAGGTGGAGTGGTGGTTAATGTGCTGGACTCCCATTGGGATGACCACAGTTCAAGTCCCAGACATGGCAGGTAGTTTTTTTCCTCTCTCTCTGGTCAAATTTAATAATAACAACAACAACAACATAATGGAATGTATTCTCTAATGTGCAATTTATATATTTTTTTTCAAATAATATTTACTTAACTTTATTTATTTTATTTTAATTTGACCAGAGAGGAAGAGAGAGAGAGAGAGTTGCCAGGTCCGGGACTTGAACCCCTGGCTCAGTCAATAGCCTGGAAGTTAAGGCATCTGGATCCCACATGCCTGACCGCAGAACTGGAGCTCCAGACCCAGCAACCTGTGTGCGAGTGTGCCCCAAATCCCGAGAGGAGAGAAAGATGGAGAATTGTGTTGTGAGCATGCCCCGCGGGGGGGTGTACATTCTGTGCTTTCTCTGTCTCTTTCCTGGGAGCACATGTGCCCTCTGGCAAATTAAAATGAAATAACAAAAAAGGAACTAACAGACTGCCTGGAGGCTGTGGCAGCTGGATCCTACCTGGCCAACTCTGGGGTTCAAGTCCTGGACCCGGCAGGTTGAAAATCATACCAGGCATGTGCTTGCCCCAAATCCCAGCAGAAGCAGGGAGAAGAGATTGCAGCGTGGCCATCCACCCAGGGAGTGATTTCTCACTTTCTCTCTCTTCATCTCTTTCTCTCTTTCCGGTGGGTATAAGCGTTCTACGGCAAAAACTTAAGAAAAGGGTCCTGGCAGGTGGCGTGGTGGTTAAGGTGCTGGATTCCCATGTGGCTGACTGTGGTTCAAGTCGTGGACTGGGAGGCTTGCTTTCTCAATTTCTCTCTCTCTGGTGAACACATGTACCCTATAACAAATTAAAAATAATAATGGAGGGGGATCAGTAGGGAATGTGGTGGTTAAGGCGCTGGGCACTCCCACATGGCCGACCACAGTTCAAGTCCCGGACCTGGTGGTTTGCTTTCTCACTTTCCCTCTCTCTCTCTCACTCTATCTCTCTCTGGTCAAATTAAAATAAATAAAGTTAAATCATTCTTTAACAAGTAGTAATGATAGGGGCCAGCAGGTGGTGTGGTGGTTAAGAATGCTGGCCTCCCACATGATCAGCCATGGTTCAAGTCCTGGACCTGGGGGCTTGCTTTCTCACTTTCCATCTCTCTTGCTCGCTCTCTCACTCTGTCCCTCTCTGGCCAGATTTAAATAAAGAAACAAATAATTAAATTTTTAAAAATAGTAATGATAGTAATAATTTAAAAAAATTTTTTTGAGAGGTTTTTGCTCTAGGGCGCGTGTGCGCTCGCCAGACAGAGAGAGACAGAGAGACAGAAAGCGAGAAATCACCCCCCAGAAGTAACGGCCACGCCGCAATCCCTTCTCCTCCATTCTCCTCTCAGGATCTTGGGCACGCACGCACACGCGCCCGGCGTGAGTTTAAGCCACCGGGTCCGGGACTCGAATCGCTGATCAACGACATGGGAGTCCAGCGACATAGCCATTACGCTAACTGCTGGTGCCAATAATTTTAAAAATTTTAAAAATAAAAGAAAGGGAATAAAAAGACCCTTTGCTGAGATCAGCAGATGGTATAATCGTTATGTTGCTGGACTCCCACGAGTCCCAGGCCCGGTGACTTGAAACTCACTCTGAGTGTCTGCATATCCAAAATCCCAAGAGGAGAATGGAGGAGAAGGGATTGCGGCGTGGCCGTCCGCCCTGGGAGGGAGTGATATCTCTCTTGCTGTCTCTCTGTCTCTGTCCCTCTAGCAAGCACATGTGCCCAATAGCAAAAATCTCTCTCTCAAAAAAAAAAAAAAAAAAAAAAAAAAAAGATGGGGTGGGGGGGGCAACAGGTGTCATGGTAGTGAAAGCGCTGGTCTCCCACATGGCTGACTGCGGTTCGGGTCCTGGACCTGGTGGCTTTGCTTTCTCATGTCCCTGTTCTCTGTCTCTCTCTGGTCAAAATTTAAAAAATAATAATAATAGTGAATAACATTAAATAAATAATTCAAAAAGAAAGAAAGAAAGAAGAGAAAGAAAAAGAAAAAAAAAGGGACCAGCAGTTAGCGTAATGGCTATGTCATTGGGCTCCCATGTAGTCGACCACGGTTCGCATCCCGGACCTCGCTTTCTGTCTGTCTCTCTCTGTCTGTCTGGCGAGCCCACCCACCCTATAGCCAAAACCTCTCCAAAAAAAAAAAAAAAAGACCCCTTGCTCTGTTTTCCCCAGGAGCAGGTTGGCCCAGGGACAGGGACCCTCCCCTCCGCCCCATCCCACCCTTGACCTTCTCTCCCTGCGTCCCGGGAACGGGAACGCAATGTCCCTCTTCCAAGGCTACCAGCTGGAAGGGCCTAAGCGCCTATAAGAGGAGGGGGTCCCCTCAAGCGCCCATGCTTTTCCCACCTGCAGCCATGAACCTCCGCGTGCCCGCCTGCACCCTGGCTCTGCTGGCCCCGGCCCTGGTGTGGTCGCTGAGCCCCACGCTCACCCCCGAGGCTCCAGAGCAGCTCTGCGGACACTACTTCGTCCGTGCGCTGGTGCGCGCGTGCGGCGGCCCCCGCTGGGCCCCCGAGGGCCGGCACGTGGCTGGCGGCGACCGTGAGTGGTGGGGGCACCTGCGGGGACTGCGCTCCGGGAGTGCCGAGGTGGGGCGGGTGCACGCGGCGCACGTGCACACGTGCAGGGAACGTCCAGGACAGCCGAGCGTGCACACCTGTGCCTGGGGTTACCTGCCGGCCGCGTGCACGCAGCGCGGGTGGGTCCGGAGGGGGTGGGGAGGTCCCTAGAGAAGGAGTCCCTCCCAGACATAGGGGGAGGCAAACGCAGCTGTCTTGCAGGTGCATGGTGGGCTCCTTCTTTATTTAGAATTTCAAGTCCAGGGGACCAGCAGTTAGCGTAATGGCTATGTCGCTGGACTCCCACGTAGTCCACCGCAGTTCGAGTCCCGGACCCGGTGACTTAAACTCACTCCGTGTGCATGCTGTGCCCAAGATCCCGAGAGGAGAATGGAGGAGAAGGGATTGAGGCGTGGCCATCGCCCCTGGGGGGTGATTTCTCGCTTTCT